CGCCTCGAGCGACAGCCTTGCACACCTGGTGCGAGGGGTATCATTTTGCCATAACGGCTAGATTGAGAGCGCCGAGAACGATTTCGTATGCCAGCTCGACGGTGTCCCACAACGCAGCGTCGTCGATGCCAAGCGCGACCATGTCCTGCCAAAGCTCTTTTACATGCGCCGTATGTGTCATCAGGATCTGTACGCTGCCTTTGCATGAGTTGCAAAGGTGGGCAGAAAGGTGGTGTAGGTCGGCGCCGGACTGAAGCGCGGCGCGGACGGTTTTCTGACTGAGGGCGGTTATGAATTGGGGGGGAACAGGGAAAAGCGCGGTCAAAACCGAGGACAGGCTTTTGGTGTAGAGGAAGCTGTGTATGAGGGAGAAGGCGGGAGCGGAGGGAAGGGCGAGCGGGAGGACAGGAAGATGTACATTCCCAGATGAGTGCGGGGCTGCAGGTGGGAGGGGAGGGAGTTTTGAGCAATGGGCAGCGAGGATTAGAGCGTGAACTGGGAAGATGAGGTGTAGTTCCTCAGAACCAGAAAAGGATGTATCGGATATAGCGAGAACGTGAGTGGGATAGGAGGGGTTTGCGAGACTGCGTAGAGGATAGATGGGAACGGAGATGTAGGGAGGGAGAGTTGACTTTGAGAGTGAACTTGGAAGATGAGATGGCGAGAAACCCGAAAGGGCAGCCGTTCCAGCAAGCATTCTACAACACAGTCAGCAAAAGAGGTAAAATATGAAAGGCTTTTGAAACTGACTGGGGAGCAGTCGCAAGCAGGTTTTTGCGAATGAACTCGAGAGAAACATTCCCGAGATTGGGAGCCGCGGCAAGCAAGGCCTCACGCGGAACCTCGGTGAAAGAGGGTCGTACGAGAGTTCGGGGCAGCTGAAATTTGGAAGATGCATCGCGGCGTTTAGAGGGAATTTGGTGTTGCATCATGACGTTGGGGGTTCAAAGAGTGGAATGGGAAAGAGATATTTATGTAGAGGGGGAGATCCTTGCAGCCCAGTCGACTCGTTGGGGTCAGAAACGAAATGGACGGGTGAGATTTATAGATGCGCTATACAATAGCCGAAAATGCATATTGTCAGTGCCTTTTGTGGGCCCACCTACTATTCTGAGCAGTGATCCGACTCGTTGAGCTTCCCCCCCGTGCCTGCTGGTTGTGAAGAGAGCCGTAGATTGAATGCTGTTGCTCCATTTCGGGAAAAGACTCCGGAGATTTGACATCAGGTCGGGGCGGCGCTCTAATTGTAAAGTTTCTCGTTGGGGTTCGCTCGCTTGCTTCCTTCAATTGTTTGGAGGTCGAGAATGATCGTGTATGGAGGGAGTGTGTGAAAATCTCTGCTTATGTTCTAGCTCAAGCCAGACATTTGTCAGACTCGTTACAGCTCTGGAGGTAAACTGGGAGTATGGACGCAGTCCTTTTCAGGAATGAACTCCAGAGGTAAGAATTTAATTTCCCAACATTCGACGCATGTACACATTACCGATTTAGAGTTCTCCCAGATCAAGGCTCTATTGTCGAGACGGAGGTAAAGACCGAGTTCACTGAAGCACTGCTATTGTCCATTCCTTGGTCACGATGGTACCTTGCACCCGACTTGCTTCGCACGCAAAGCGTATGCCGACATTCTGGTGGCTTCACCTGGCTGGCACCCCGTCAAGGCTTAATTGTCTTGCAGCCTGGCCGATAGCAATTCCGCAGATAAGCGATTGAACGTGGCAAGAATGGAAAAATCCGTCTTCCTCCGCTGCTGCTGCTTCTGAACCTGGCCTTGTCTAGTTATTGTTGCAGCGTCCACGGAACGGGCGTCTATGAGCAAAGAGACAATTAGATTCCGTGGCAAGAAGAATTGTGTGACGTCACAGCGATTACGATGCCGACTCGACGACGGCTAGAGTCGGCGAGAGTGGAAGGCATGAATATGTAGATGCGCTATGTTGCAGCCGAGTCTATACAGTAGTGGTACAGATTATGATATACATATATAGTATGAATGCGGTCTAGTATTCGAGTCCCAGTTTTCGCTGCATGATCAGCGCAGAGAGCAGAATGTGGTCGAAACATTCATGTCCGTCAGGGAAGATGGTGAGTACAGCTTCTGGAAGCGGCGGAGGAGCATCAAGGGGTGGAGGTACGAACGACGCCAATTGAACCATGTTTGATCGCAAAGCATAGCACTGGAACGAAGGTAAGCACTGCGGAGGAACCCAAACTTTACGCACAATGCACAGAGGTGAGCCGTCTTCCAGCATTGAGCGGCAGTCCCACCGCAACCCAATTTCATCCCATCTCCAAGTCCAATGCCGCTGAAGACATAGAGGTGTTAGAGAACGAACCTCATAACACCAAGAGAAGCCGGAACGCACAGGAGAGGCATTGATGTTAAAGAGCACATTGGAGAGACGCGTTTGTATATCTCCAATTGTAAGAATGGCGCGGCGGTGATTTAGTGATAGTCTTCCTTCGGATTAGACGCGCTCAGTATACGGATTAGAATATGCGCACTCGAAATCCCCGATGAAAGACTGCCGATCGCCGTCTACCCGATATACGCAAGTACGATACGAGATCGGTACAAAAGGGTTAAGGTTCATAGACACCGATATTCGGTACTTCGCTTGGTCGTCCGAGTCTTGAGGCGGCACCAGAATTACTGAGTTTGGGTCGATACCGGAGGAATCAGAGGTGAATGTATAAGACAGAGGATTCTTTGGCCGTCGGACTCGCGAATATTTTGGTGGTTGTGTACGGTTTGAGGTTATATAGCTAGCAGCATTATGAGGTGAAAATTACATTAGGGCGGAGGAAATTATACGAGTATACTCTGGTAGGGGTTCAGCAGGTCTTATAGTCGGGGTTCCCACTACTGTGACGCCATCTTGTGAATCTTTAAGGGAGATCAATGGCGGGCAGCGAACAAAAGTACGACCAGGGCATACTGAGGACGATCATGGTGGAAGGTAAGGAGGAGGAGGGTGACGGTGTAACAGCGTCACACAATCTTCACTCTCACCGAACAGTCATGGGCTTCACACTTCAGCTCGGAACACCCGTGAACACTGCTCTGTTCATCTTTATCCTCTATTCTGTGCAGCGCATTGTATTTCCCTCTGTCTCCAAGCCTTCCACCATTCCTCGGGAGTTCAAAGCCGGTTACTCATGGATGCCTAAAACTCATCCACCAACTGTCTTGTTCAAGACTTACACTGCCAAGACTCTCGAGCCGTTCTCTGGCAAGGATGGCGGACGTATTCTGCTTGCTATCAATGGTACTGTATTCGACGTCACCGCCGGGAGGAATTTCTACGGTCCTAGTTCGTCTCCTGCATGTTACTTCTTGAAGTGCTCGTTCACCAGATGGCTGCAGACGGGATGTACGGTAACTTTGCTGGGAGAGACGCGTCTCGGGGGATGGCAAAGCAGTCCTTTGATATAGGTACTTGATTGTCTTTGCCGTACGCATCGTACTCATGCGCGGGAAACAGATATGCTGACCCCCATCGACCAACCGCTCGATAAGCTCGCTGACCTGCAGCCGGATGAAATGTTGGTCCCATGCTCTGCATGAAAATCTTTGCTCATGCCCCGTTCACGTGCAGAGACAACATGAAGGGCTGGATCGACCACTTTTCAAACAAATACATTATTTGCGGCAAGCTGGTTGAGAACGATGCCATCTAGTCGCTTTGTAAACATGAATTTCCCGCGGAATAATATTTAGATCTCTGCTGCGCTGGTATATCCCGCCCGTCTGACTCACTCCAACAGCGGATCTCGAGGGAGATCGCATAACACTCACTAAAAGCTCTTCATCTGCACACGAGCGGACATCAGAGATACTGGGCCGACCTTCTCTATGCTCTCCAGCAGCAGCAATATCAGGTTGCCCTACCCCCTAGACCGGTGACCGTCTGTCTATGGAGCAAGCTGTCTATCGACACAAACTCCCCAATGTAAATTTTCGATAGACAGGCTGGAATCGAGCCTACCCGTCTATACTCACTGCCTGGAAGGTTAGAGCCGCTGGAGGACGAGTACCTGAAGATCATGGCGGTCCTGAGACACTGCCTGGATGCGGTCGTCAATGTGCCGCATTTTAACACAATCACCCCGCCTGCTTCTCCGTCAACACCCTTTCGCGATACAACGTATGCGATATAAACACTGACATCATCGTGTTACTGTCCCCCGCGATGATGGGCTCTGTTGTTTTAACTGCCGTCGAGGATGCACTGTTCTTTTGCAAGGGCCGGCGTGAGTTGAGAGAATGGGCGGCTGAGTCCCTGCGTCGGCGGGCTGAAGCCAAACGCAATGTGGGTCCGTGAACACCATGGCTTTCGGTCGTTGATCTTCGACCGCAATACGGTCTGTCAAGGGGGGAAGATGGCGCACAGTGTTCAAGGTATTCACTGAAGAGTCAATGATCTGGCCTGATGGTGCGTGAGGATGTTGTTGGGTGATTCTTTCTAGCCGCTCTCTTGCTGCCGGCGATCTACGGCCTCTTGAAGGTGAACTCGTCAGCGGTGGTGGAGGAGGAATAGTGTAGTACAGCACATACAACGGCCGATGTATTGATTGCTCCAACTTGGCACGTTCCGAAATGGGACCATGTTGGCTTGAATTGATCCTACTAAGTCTTTTCCTGTGACACAATTGTTGAAAGTAAGGTCTAGAACCGTCCGTCCCGTCCGTCAGGACGTTCTCCAACGCTCGAGACGCGCTGGTGCCGTTTTTTCGTGGCGGACCTCAGATGACTTGTTTCCGCTCAAAATGTGAAGATGCGTAGAGAAGTTCATTCATCCGTTCCAGCGGAACAGATGGAATGCCTCCCCAGTCTGACGGACGGGTTGAAGTCCTAGACTTGGGAGTTCGGTGAGAGCTTTAGGTACCGGGGAAGGAAGGGTAGAGTAAGGAAGAGGTAAGGGGGCCGTCGGGGACGTGTGCGGGAGGTGACCGGGGCGAGGGGAGGGCGCGCAGCGCCCCTCAAAAACAAAAATGAATGCCCACAAGCCGGATTGAACGACTGACCTTCTCATTGCGTGAAAATACAAGTGAGACGCGCTACCACTACGCCATGAAGGCATCGGGTTCGAATGCGCCATGTCTTGGGGACAGCGCAGGGTCCACAATTGAGGAAGAACGAGGGGAAACGAAGCAAAAACAAGCGAGAACGGCCAGAAAACGCGCCAAGCTATGGTCTGTGGTGTCACTCCAGAACTATGTTGCCAGTATTGTGTTACGCGTATCCAAGGACCAAACACAGCGCCCAAGCCGCGACGGCGCGACCCCTTCGAGTGGAGGCAGAGGAAGAGAGAGGAAGAAGGAATCGTTGTGACAAATGTGACAGGGTGTCACGCTCAAGCACTTAAATCAATAAGTTATCAAACGTTCAAACTTCAGTGCTTCAGCTCGGAGTCGTCGTCAACACTCTACGTTCTGAGTCGCTTGGACTCGCAGTCAGCCTATGTAAAGATCTAGATTACTCTTGCGGCAGCGCAGGACGCAACTTGCAAGCTTTGAGTCTGAGGAGCCTCCCCAATAGCTAGTGTCGCCCTTCAAGTTCGGAATTCGTCTGATAATGCCAGTGTGTGTTATCGCCTCTGAGCAGTTGATTCTTTGGAGATCTCATGGGTGTCGCGGCTGTCTATGCTGATGACGAACTTTGGTGTTCTGTTTTGAGTTCCTCGCTGTATGTCTTGCATCCTTTGGTTCAAATCATCTTCATGTGTGGGTCCGCTAATTTCTTAAGTTTTGCACTCGGCAACTACTCGGAATTTGAACTTTCCGATGTCTTGAAGGTTCCTATACAAGGACGATCCAAGACCCCAAAATACTATGCGGCGCCGCTGTCAGTTTGGAGTATGTAACTCTGTTGTTGTCCCTGAAAGCATCCTAGCGCGCACATAGCCCATGCGCTCGTTTAGGCCTTTGCTCAGGTTGGCTGTCTACAAGATATAATTACCTGAACCTCGTGAGCTTTCAAATACACGAGCTCTGACTCTGCTCCATCAGCATTCCCATCCATGTCTACCAGCCACGGCTCATAAACCCAAGATCTGGAGCATGCATCGTCGAGCAATCCCGTCGCCGATCCCGTCCGCGTTTCGAGGCCTCGATCCCCTCAACCGTTATCTGCGTCTCTGGATGAAGGTGAATACGGCTTAGTAGCAGAGCGGATAAGTGATCCGTCGCCCTTGCTGTTCAGATTTCCCGAACGTGCCCAAACGTCGCCGCCAATGACGGCGCAATCTAGCTATTACCCCGCGCCAGCATCCGACGCTGTCCGCCGGCTGGACTACCAAAGGCAGAATACTGCTAGCACAGGCCGTCAATCTCATTGGACGGAGACAAGGGCAGAGCATGTACGCTTCAAATGCGAATTCCCGTTAACCCACTCACCCATTTTAATAATAGCGTTCGAGAACGATTCAAGAGCGAATTGAGCCTACTCTCGAACATGCCAAGTCAGAACGAATAAGATGCGAACTCAAAGCAAGGCTAACTGGGTATGCCTTGAATGTGAGCGTTTTGTATCTGTCCAATTCAAGAAAGTCAATTTTGCTCTGCAGATTGCGATTGGTTTACAAGTACTTTTTGGTGCATTGACTACGGGTGTGGCGGCAGCAACTACGGGTCGGTCGGTGCGTGCTGGCTGTATGGAAAAGTAGCAATTGTCTGAGCAGCCTTCATCAGACGTCTATTGCAACGTCTGTACTTGGTGCGCGCCACTCACTGCTGCTCGCGTTCCTTATTGACAAGTAACAAAATAGGCGGCATGACTACTCTTGTCGCGTCCTATCTTGCGAGGGCGCGAGGATCGAATGAACCGGAACTGAGCATCACTCGAGTCAAGGACTTGGACCAGTTGATAAGAGAGTGTGAAATCCTGATGATGGACTATGGAACGGTGACTGGCAATGAACACGACCCAGCTCTCACCAGACTTCGAGAACGTTTTTGAGGAGCTGCTGGGTAATGGTAACGGGTGCGTACTACCTACTCTGTGCTGGTGTGCATTCTCACAAATCATCCAGTGAACGACGGTTGGCGTCGGTTTGAAATGAGAAAATGCAACACCAGCCTCACCAGCCTTTTTACTGTCTATTTAGTTAATACCCGTCGGGAAGACGATAATGACATGATACCCAGTTATTTGTGTTGAGAGGGAGCCCCCCCTACGACCCAGTCCATACCGAGACCGACAACGGGAGCTGTTGAATCGCTGTTTTCAGTCAGGTGGTCGCGTATTGACCGGCCCTAAAGCTTTGATGTGCCAAGGTGGTAACTGCCAAGGAACCGTAGCTGTTTTGCTTTCGTTCTCAACCACGACGTGTTGTCGCTCGTATTTCTTGAGTTCTCACCGTACCGTCGATAATACCATCTCATTATCATGGTCCCTGGAGACTAAATTCCTTTCGGACACTAGCTGTTATGTCAAGCAGGAAGCTGTTTGGGCTTAGACTCAAGTTTGCAAGACCCTACAAGACCCTACCTTGTCGGCTAGAAATTCTACCCAGTTGATTGAATTTGTTTCTGGACCAACACCTGTGCGCAGGGATTTCCATGATACCACCAGTCTATCTCTCTGGAAATTCGAAAATAAATGACTATGATGAGCTTCCTCGCAATCCTCAATCTACTTTAGTCGTATCTGTGTGCTCTGGCGTTTCCTGCGTCGTATACCAAGGCAGTTTTCTCGTCTTGCGCAAGCGATCGAAATTGTCACTCACTCAAGAGCGAAGCGTGACAGTCTGGTCGGCCGCGCTCTCTCTGCTCAGTACCACCACAACCCCCACATACAATCATGCCCACATTCGTTCAATTCCTTACGTTCATTTATGCCTACGCTTGCGATGTCCTCTCTCGCCTGCTGGCTATCTTTCACGGCAGTCTCGTCAATACTCCCACTGATACTTCAGTTGGGGAGGCTGGTGAGTGTCGAGCGTTTTCTCGCAAAACTGCACTAAGCGAGTGTTTGTAGACCTTACCTCCGTCGACAAGACGCTCGAGCAGGAGGCCGTCGACCCAGGTTAGTCTTGGAACTGGCTCTGTTGGTCTCTATGCTCATCGTGCCCAGGTTCCGCTCCCAACCCCGCTGTTGCTCTGCAACTTAGCACCGGCGAGATCACCTTCGACGATCTCATGCGTGTCGCGGTCGCCTATGCTAACGAGGACCTCCCCGACTTGCCTGCCATCTTCAAACACGAGGAACCCCCAGCCCTCGAGTTCCCCCCTTCTTACGTCTGCAAGCAAGTCTTCGGTCCACCTAGCAACATGTACTACGACCGGCGTCCGATGGACAACGTCACCAACTACCGCGAAGTGGAAGACGCTGTTGGGTTCAAACTCGACGTCAACATGAAGCTGGAAGGAAAGCCGTCGCGTCGCACGCGTAGGGCCAAGAGGGCAAAAGTCAACACGAAGGTCAAGGTTGGATCTGGCGATAAGCGCGTCCGCTTCGAGGACGTTCCGAAGGTTCAGGTCTATGGTGTCGACGACCCGCCCAGTCTCGTCATCGTCCAAGCGGCCCCGACTGCTGTAGATCTTATAACCAGTATCGTTAGCGACACCAGCTCCGTTCTCGATTCGCCTACCCTCGCCGAACCTGTCTCGCAAGCCCATGCAGAACAGATCACGCTGTCGACGACCCTCACCTCTTCCTCGCCACCCTTGACGAACATCGCATCGCCTGCCGACACCAAGGAGTCAACCGTCTCCCGCTCAACTCGTCCTCCGTGCGGTCAAGTGCGTTCGTCCAGACGCCCCGCTTCTCGTCTTCTTCCTCCTCCGCTCCCGATCCCCGTGCCTCTCCCCGAGCCCGTGGCACCCTGCTTCGTTCCCGCCGTCCTAGATTCTGCTCGCTGGTCCCCACGCCGCAAACTGCAGGATCGGCTATCTGCGTTACTCGAGGACTCGAAGGCCACCATCGATGCTTTAGAGAACATCAATCCCAAGGCCAGCACAGGTACATTCAGCGCCGTTGCTCTTGAAGAGGGACGCAAGGAGATTTTTGTCATTGGCGACGACGATGAGGAGGACACCCCGGCCACCAAACGATCCTGGCGGCGCGCGAGCTCCCATCTCAACCGCATCCTGCGCCCGCGACCGAAGGAATTCGAACTCGCCCCGGAAAGTGTGACGTCACATTGATGATGGTCACACTTTCCGCATCGGCTTTCTTCGGCCTGTCCGCTCCCTTGACTGCTTGAGTTGTAAGTTCTCTTTCCACCACATCTAATGTATTAAGCATCCGCCGCACCGGATAGCACCGCGCAGCGGGCCTCGCGGCGAGCGCCGGCACCACGCAGTGGGCCTCCGCGGCGAGCGGTTGCACCACGCAGTGGGCCTTAGCGGCGAGCGAAGCACCACGCAGTGGGCCCCGCGGCGAGCGGAAGCCCCGCGCAGCGGTCGGGGTCTGGGGTGGAAAACCCCAGCCGTCCGGGCCGGCGCCCGCAACCCTTCCCTCTTTCAATTTTTTTTGTGTATGTACTTTGTATTCAGTTCAAAATTTAATTCTCCATTAGAAAAATCAAAACTACAGACAAAAAAACCCCCCCAGCAAAAGGTCAGCGCCGGAGGAAAAAACCAGCGCCCGCGAAGCGCGTGGCACCAGCAAAAGGGAGGGGGTGCCCGCCTACAGCTCACGGAAGGCGTGACATGTGACGTCACACTTTCCGGGGCGGGTTCGGCCTCCGCGACCGAACGGTTCGATCGTTTGAGCTGCCCTCCGCCCTGCCCACGCCGGTACCATCTACCTACCACTCTTCCACGGTCGCGAGAAAACCATAAAACCCCAGTCTTGTTTTGGAACGCCCTCATAAAATCATATAAAAGCACAACACAACTCGGGGCTTCTTGTTTGGCATCGTCTGAGCTGCCGTCCACACATCCCACCCCATCCCCGCCGGTACCAGCTTCGTTCTCCTCCACCACTCTTTCACGGCCGCAAGAAAACCATAAAACCCCAAATTTGTTTTGGAACGCCCTCATAAAAGTCGGATAAAAGCTTGATAAAAGCACAAAAAAAATTGGGGCTTACGGACTATTTATTTGATAATTTATTGTAGTTAGATGCTTGTTGT